GCGGCTGCAGCCACGGGGGACAGCAGCCGCCCCTCTGAGAAGCCCTCCAGGCTCATCTCCGACTGGGACTTGCTTCTGCAGAGGGCAGGGCAGGGAGGGGCGAGACTCAGGAGGGGCGCAGAGGCTGACCCTCAGCTCCCTGGCCGGAGGGAGCCTGGGGAGGGGCCGAGGGGCAAGTTCATTTAGCCGCCACTGAACCATTAGGGGCAGGGACCCTTTAAAAAGAACAACAGAAAACTCACGAGAACCCAAGACAGAAAAAGGGCTGACGCTGGGTTGAGCCAGGGTGGGCGCCCTGCTGGCTGGAGGCCCTGGGGGAAGCCGTGCTCCACTGCACCATGGGGGACCCCCTGTGCCCCTCCCAGAGCTCTTCCCCCCCACCCCCACTGGAGTGCCTCCTGCCTCGCCCTCTGCTGGGCGGGGCCCTGGAGCCTCTGGGCCAATGCGCTGCAGGGAGTGAACGAAGGTGGGGAAGGGGTGCAGCAGTTGTAGCTGTGAATGCACACCCCCCTCCTCTGGGCACGCACTGCCTCAGGAAATGCGCGGAAGGCGGGGAGAGATGCCAGGGACCTCGTGGGGCCGGGGACCAGCGGATCACCCTTCCCATCAGCCTCTTGGCCACATCGGGGCCGCCCTGGGCAGAAAGGGTCCCAGAGAGGCAGGCAGACCCCCCAAAGAGTGTGTGTAACTGTGGGGGGTGTCTGGGAGCCTGTGTGCACGCTCTGCGTGTATGTACAGTGTATGCACTAGCTGCCCACGTGTCACCTGCCACGCGTGTCTGTGTGACTGGGTCTGGGCGCAGGCGCAGTCTGTCATCCCCGTGCAGGGCTGCCTGTCCAAGCGTGTCCTCATGTGTGCCTCTCGGCCTCTGTCTTGGTGTGTCCTACACGGGACTGTCTGCGTGGAGCTGTGCGCTTAGAGCTGCCCGTGTCAGCTTCAGTGCCTGTACTTAACCGCACACGGTGATGTACGTGAGCGCCTGGGTGTCCGTCTGTTTGGGTCTAAACGGGTCTGAGTGAACCGATGTGTTTGTGACCAGGGGGCCGTGTATCTTAGATGCCCACTAGCCCGTCTGGGCTTCAAGATGGCAGGCTGGGGGCAGTGGCAGCAAGGCAGAGAGACCGAGCAGAGGGGACAAATTCGCCCCTTCCGGCATGTGTGTGCAGAGCTGTGTGAGCGTGCGGGCTCGGTTTGTGCACGGGACACGTGTAAGCACATGTGCCCTGCGAGCACATGTGCCCTGGAACATACGTGCCCTGGAACTCATGTGCCCTGGAACTCACGTGCCCTGAGAGCACACGTGACCTGGAACACATGTGCCCTGGAACACACGTGCCCTGAGAACATGTGCCCCCTGGAACTCACGTGCCCTGAGAGCACACGTGACCTGGAACACATGTGCCCTGGAACACACGTGCCCTGAGAGCACATGTGCCCTGGAACTCACGTGCCCTGAGAGCACACGTGACCTGGAACACATGTGCCCTGGAACACACGTGCCCTGAGAGCACATGTGCCCTGGAACTCACGTGCCCTGAGAGCACACGTGACCTGGAACACATGTGCCCTGGAACACACGTGCCCTGAGAGCACATGTGCCCTGGAACTCACGTGCCCTGAGAGCACACGTGACCTGGAACACATGTGCCCTGGAACACACGTGCCCTGAGAGCACATGTGCCCTGGAACTCACGTGCCCTGAGAGCACACGTGACCTGGAACACATGTGCCCTGGAACACACGTGCCCTGAGAGCACATGTGCCCTGGAACTCACGTGCCCTGAGAGCACACGTGACCTGGAACACATGTGCCCTGGAACACACGTGCCCTGAGAGCACATGTGCCCTGGAACTCACGTGCCCTGAGAGCACACGTGACCTGGAACACATGTGCCCTGGAACACACGTGCCCTGAGAGCACATGTGCCCTGGAACTCACGTGCCCTGAGAGCACACGTGACCTGGAACACATGTGCCCTGGAACACACGTGCCCTGAGAGCACATGTGCCCTGGAACTCACGTGCCCTGAGAGCACACGTGACCTGGAACACATGTGCCCTGGAACACACGTGCCCTGAGAGCACATGTGCCCTGGAACTCACGTGCCCTGAGAGCACACGTGACCTGGAACACATGTGCCCTGGAACACACGTGCCCTGAGAGCACATGTGCCCTGGAACTCACGTGCCCTGAGAGCACACGTGACCTGGAACACATGTGCCCTGGAACACACGTGCCCTGAGAGCACATGTGCCCTGGAACTCACGTGCCCTGAGAGCACACGTGACCTGGAACACATGTGCCCTGGAACACACGTGCCCTGAGAGCACATGTGCCCTGGAACTCACGTGCCCTGAGAGCACACGTGACCTGGAACACATGTGCCCTGGAACACACGTGCCCTGAGAGCACATGTGCCCTGGAACTCACGTGCCCCGTGAGCACACGTGCCCTGAGAGCACACGTGCCCGGGAACACACATGCCCTGAGAGCACA